ATATTTGAAAACTGACATATGATGAAAAATATATCTTAGATAATCACTTCTAGAAGAGCCAAAGATATTAAAACATTGGACAAAATGTACTGCCAGCCAAAAAAATTGTCCTATTCACATTTTGAAATTAAGAAGCAAAGTATGTTTACAAATTTTTAATTATGTAAAGTTAATAAATAGCAACTATTTGGTTTTTGTTTTTTTATTCTGTATGACAAAAGAATTTTTTTTTAATTTTCTCACGCATACAATCAAGTCTAGTAAGATTTGGTTTATATTTATTGCCAGTTACTTGGATTGCTTAAAAAAACAAGACTGATCTTATTGAACTGATCAGACTTAGTATTGAGACACAAGTAAATCATTGAGATCTGATGCCATTACGAAGATAGTTAATGAAAATTAAAAACTAAGACCAAGGATAGATACCCTGGGGGTGAGGTGGGAGGGTATTAGTACAGTTATAAAAGTTACTACACTTGTCAACCTTGACATAATCTTTTCAGGCCATAATCATTTGTGCCAGCCTCGGGTTAGCTTCCTTTTACCCAATTCTTGTAAATGCTTTAAATGTGAATGAAATATTTACATAAGATGGGCTTTGCCTACCAGTATATGTTAAAGCTAATTTTAAGTATAAGAAATTATTCTGGTAATTTTATATCTTAATGTATATTTGGTAAAGAAATTTAATCTTAAGATTTATTTTATTTTTAAATAGACTAATGTATTGTTTGATGCCCCCCCCCAAATGAACTTATGACTCTTATCAAAATATAAACTTACAATCTATTATGAGTATATTGGATACCAATCATAAATACCAATTTATCACAAGACACCCAAATAAATGTACTACATTTTCAGCTCAAAAAAATTTGAAATTGTCTTTAACTTTCTCAAGTCCTATCTTTGCTTCTGCCTTTTTCTAGGGATGCCTATGAAAGTTGATTAATAAAAGTTCTTATCCAGTTGGGTACCAAGAAAACTTTGGTAAAATTGTGGCATTAATATACAAATTGGTTCCCATTTGTAAAGTTCAGTAGCCAATATAGTTGACATTAACCTTTATCACTCTGTATGTGACTTCATTTGCTGTGCAAAAAGTTTATCCTGCCACTGAAGGTGACTGATCCCTGAATTTGAATTTATTTGAATGTCATAGTTGTTGTCATATCCTGCTATGGTAACAAAAAACACCTTTGAAAGTAACAAGGTTACTGCAAATGAGGCATTGAAAAAGAATGCAGTAGAAAGTAGTATTAATAATGCAGAGGGCTAAAGGTTAGTTTTCTTTGTTTGCTTGTCAGTTGGAATCATGAACATGCCATTCTTTATCAACTATCTTCAGTTGACTCTTCACTGTTCATTTAACGAATGTTCCTAGAAACTTATTCAGACTGTTAATAAGCAGGGCAGACTGGAATACTAATCAAAAAATGAACACTGAATGAGACTGCTTTATTTAATAACCATTTTTTCTTTAAAGATCTTTAGTACCAGAAAATCTAGGTTTAATTAAAACTTTGAACTTTTTTGTTCCTTTAGGAACACTTAATATATTTGATCCTAATTAGCATTTTGCTTGTAAAATGTTTCAGTTCTCTTTGCAAAAAAATTTCTAAAATCTTAAATAGCCATCAGCATGGAATTTTATTCTCTATCATAAAATTCCTGTTCAGAGCAGCCACATGATCTTACAGTGGATAGGTGGTGTTTACAGGTGTAATTTCATAATGATTAAATTTATTTGCTTATATCTTCTGGTATAGTGTTTTTTGGTTGTTTTTTTTGATTTTTTTTTTTTTTTTCTTAACTGAATTTTCAAACATTTACATCAGAAACCTGGTACATTAACTGAGGGAAGTCATTAAAATGTGAATTCTTATAATTCTGAAGACTTGTATTCTGAACTTAGTGTTTATCATTTTGTTCTATACAATGAAATTGTAATATAATTCAATGTCTTTGGTCAAAATACAAAGATAAAACCTTAATACAAGGGGAAACAAATCCAACATTTGTTGGGATCTTGGCATCCTGATTAATTTTCCATTTCACCCAATCTAATTCCTGTAAAATTCTGGCTGGGGAGAATTTAATCCTAGTCTATTAAGTGTGTGGGTTAATTCCCCCCCCCCAAAAAAAAAATTAGTGGTTTAAAAATATCTCAAGGGTCATATATTAAGATATGGATTAGGCTAATGTTTACAAAGACACTGGAGAATACAAGAACTTGTCTCATCTTATTCCATATTTCTGTAATGTTAAAAGTAAATAACACTTGTCTTGAATGATGTTGAATAGGGTCATTGTCAGGAATCAAAAATTGGAACCATGGAGTGTCATATTTAGATCTATTCTATACATTAATAGATTACATGGATGACTTTGGAAGAATGTGATTGAATTTCCTCCCACCCTAAAACTATTGCATCACAGTGTCTGTTTATATCGGTATAAGATAACAAATAGGAAACGTTTATCAATCTAACATATTTCACTTTTTTTTTATTAAAGCCTCATAGAAAACGAGATTTGGAAAAAAAAAATTCTAATAAAACTCTGGAGAAATTCTAATATTTTTATTTTACTTTTGTCTGATTTCCTTTGATTAATCATGTCTCATATGCATTTGACTTGTTAAACAAACGTTAGTATAATTTATGGCGTTCCAAATTTGGAGTTCCAAGAAACTAACAGATATTAGTATGCATTATTTTTCAGTTTCTGATGATGCCAGTTTACTGGTAAAATGTCAAGGTAGATTTCAAAATTGATTTTTATATTTCACATTCTGTCAGACCCATCCAGTTTCTTTTACAAGTGCTGAAAAGTTCTTAGCCTGATCCATTCTCTGAAATCAGTATTTCAATGACCAAGTATCTCAAGTGTATATGGATTAACAGAAAAGGTGAATATGGGATATGGTATATACAGGGCTGGCTGAAAATATATTGGCACACTCCTTATTATTTATTTTAAATTGTCTAATACCATAACCTGTTGATGTAATGCCTGCCATTCCAATTTGCTGCTTTGGATCCAGTTTTCTAAATGCATAGATTGAATGGAAGAACCATCTGGACAATCAAGTTATGAATACTCTGTTCTCTTGGTTGAAGGATGCTTGCCATGGGTAGCAAGTTGGTCGTTTTGCTTGCATAGCCTTGTGCCAAACTAACCTTACTCAATATCTGTTAGTTTCCTGAATTCTGTGGGGAGTGTGGTTAAATAACCAAAGCATGTTTTTTTTTTGTTTTTTTTTTTTTTTTTTTTTTTTTTTTTATTATTGTGGGAGGTTTTGTCTAATGTCCTGCCAAGGTCAGTTATTCATGTGATGAACTGCCGGCCTGCGATAAAATAATTCCATGTCCTGTTAGCAGAGATAACAAAACATTCCAACTATTTAGGCTATTTAAAAGCCTCTTGGTGGCAAAAAAATTGACAAGAGTTAGTTAAATGTCTTTGTTTATTGGCCTTTTTAAATGCTGATGTTTAATTTTTAATAAAATTAATCCATTTAGCCATCAAAAAGCATGATTTTATCTCTAATCAGGAAAAAGGCTTTTTTTTTTTTTTTTTTTTTTTAAAAGGTTATCTTAGAACAAATCTCTATCTCGGACTGTACAAATTAAATTGTAGTATATACTTTTTAAAAACTGATCTGAACTTGATAGTTCCCCTTTGGCATGAATTTTTATTTTTTGTGCAGGTTTCATTTTTGTTTTGTGGTAAATAAGCATCGATGGGTTATTTAATGCCAACAAGGTTTTTATTACTGTTAAAATCACACACACACACACACACACACACACACACACATGTATTGCTGGTATTGAAAACCTATTAAGCTTTCATAGTGTTTTGACCCCAGTTTGGTTAAATATTTGCCTCCATAGCTGGGACCTAAACAGGAACACCAGCAATTAAGACATGGTTCCACTCTCCTTAAAACCTTCGGATCATAGGCCTTTGCTGCTGGATGTAGTTTATCATCATACCCAGGACATGTGTGTGCTAGCCTGAATAATTCTTTTAGCTAGCTTGATAGAAGCCCCCCAAATTTTTTTTAGATCTATTTAAATTCAAAGTCTGTAAAATATGATCCCTTTTTATATATATATATATATATATATATATATATATATATATATATAATAATTATTCTAGTTTTCTAACTGCCATCTTAATCCCAGATTATTTCCCACTTCTGTAATCATTTCTCTGGTACACTGAAACTTAGGACAATGCAGCAGTTGACATTTCACCACTCTTGTTAAAACTTTGAATCCCTCCTGTAGTCATGAACTCTAGAGAGATAGGGGGGGGGGATAACAAAAAAAAACTTCAATATAAATATGTAACTATTATCCACTATTGCCCCCTCATCTGGAATTTACTATGTAATATATCTTTGATCATCTGTCTCTTTAGATTTCTCTAGAAATTAAATCCTGCCAGCAGTTCTTATTATTGAAATATTTTTAATCCACGACTTAAAATAATTAATGATATATGGGTTCAATATAACTTCAAATATTACTTCCAAAATAATTTATATTCTAGTTGTAGATTACCTTGCCTACTTCCAAGTAATTTAAACGGAAGAATCCTGAAGAGGTGTAGCATATTTAGTTACCTGAATTAATATTTTAAGATGATTACGTTTCATTTAAATTGCAGATTAGATTATGCGTAATGGTTCTTCTGTAAGTCTTAATTTCTTTCACAGTACAAATTAAATCTCAGACTACTAAAATCTCCAGCTACTGTTGAACTTTGAATATGTTTGAAAAGAAAACTTCTCCTTTCAAATATAGCTCCTCCATTAATGTTCAGGGACTACATTTACCTGTAATCAGTAGGTTTTCCTAGATATTAGTTACTTATGGAAGCCTTACTATTATTTATTATTCCTCTTGCTTGATCTTAAGCTTAAAATGTTTCCAATATAATGACATTTATAATAACCATTTCTTTTTTTTCCTTTTCTACAGGGCGGCTGTTCTGGTCTCTTTTATATAGAAAGCCCTGAGGGCTTCTGCCGTTTCAAGAGAAAATTCGATTTTAACGCGGAACCACCTTGGGACCCCAGCTAGCATCGGCTAAGAGCAGGTGTTCCTATTGGCCAGGTAAGATGCTTAATTTATTACTGCAAATAAAAACTGGTAAAAAGTCTTATCGGTTAAGATAAACAATTGGAAATTTTAGTGCTATAAATTGACCACTTAGATTCCTTTTATATTAATTTAAATTAAAGGAAGCTTATAACCTATTGCCAAAAAAGATACTAAGTTATTTCAAAGGTATTAACTTAACAAAAACAGCAAAAATATTTAACATTGTAAGAATGCATTTCTTTTGGTATGCTTTGGTAGCAATGCTGCCATCTTCCTCAAGGAAAGGAAATTGGCCTCCTGCTAAATGTGTTTTTATTCCTGTAGACATCTTGTGGAGCATAGGGTTGCAATGGCAGCAAGTGGATGTTGCAGTTTCAGTGGCAAGTGAATTGTCTGTTTCTTCTTCCAGGCTTGTGTTGCTAGTCTGCCTTTTGTGCCATGTCTCTTGTTGCTCTAGTAACATTTGGCTCTTTACCATCATTGTCTTTGCTCTGCCACCCATTCACCCAGACTCATTGGATAAGTTACACATTGCTTTCCTCTGCCACCAAACCACTTCAATGTCCTGTGGGTGTTAAATTTTCCAAACCTGCTTTCCTCGTAATTTACCCTAGAAATTCCAACTGATTTTAAGTAATTCCTATTTCCTGCCTTACAGAGCTAAAAACTATCCCCCACTACTTATAGGTGGTGGTGGGCAAATAGGTTCATACCTAAACAAAGGACAGGAATCCAAAGTCAGAGCCAGATTAAAATTCTGCCCATTAACCATGCATATCTACACTAAATGTCTTACTATTAAATATACCAAGTTTTGAATAAAGTTTCTACAATATATTTTCATCTGTTAATAACAGGTAAGCTGTGAATCATAGATTCATAATTACAAGTCCTCTCTCATTTTCCCCTGACTCAAATCTTCAAATGTTTTTCCCCTTCCTTAAATTTTGCTTAATTCATACCTAATGTCAGATATGCAAGACTTTAAGAACTTTCTTGTTTGTTGTTAATTTCCTCTTACTCCATTCCTGACAACCACTCCTTTGTTTTACATTGTAAGCAATTTTCAAAGCTGATTAGGAAGGGAATGTACAAGGAGTGTGAATTTGGAATTTCCATATTTTCTTCATTTTTAATGTGTCATAAGGATTGAAAATAAGAGGTAGATTTTACTTTTATTTTTTCCAGTTTCATAATTAAAAACAAGTTTCAAATTTTTACCACCATCCTCTACAATAAGGTCTGGGATTTGTACAAAAGATGTTTAGTATCAGAACTAATTCTCCTCCAAAATTCTGCTTTTGTGTAAATTTGCAAATTGAATATCAATTGTGTTGGGTTTCACACAAGATTCACAATCTGTGAAAAAAGTAATTGCTTCATTAATTGCAATTTATTTTTTTAAACAGATATGCAGTAAACAGGCACCAACATCTCTTGTAAGAGAAAAATGCAAATGAAAATTGTAGACCAAAATGAAATCTAAATATTCTTTGAAGTTCTAAATTTTGTCCAGTTTAAATTAATTTCATTTGAACTGCTCCATTAAAAATCCCTGAGAGTAAATATAATCAGTCGGTTTATGTAAATTGTACAATGTTATATTCCTGTTACTATTGAAGAAAATTAAAAATTGTTGATCTCTTGATTTATTCACTTCTCAATGTGTTACTTCTCTCTGTCTGTCTGAAGTCTCCCAATGAAATAGTAAACAGACAAAACTGGACTTAGTGTCCTAAAGTAAAAGATCCAAATGCACCATCAAATAATCCCTCATCCAACCCAAGTTCTCTCTGAGCCATGGACATATACACACATTTTGCAGCTGTTAATGTGTACACAAAAGGTTAGTCACAAAGTAATAATTAATTTTTACTTTTTTTGTTTGTGGGATTTAAAAATAACTTTATTTTTAATTTATTCTTTTAGAACTGAAGAATATAAACATAAAATATAGTGTAAGTATATAATTAAAAATATATATATATATATATATATATATATATATAAAACTAGTAGGGAATAAAATTTTAATGTTGCTCTTTAAACTGCAAGTATATTTGCATTAGATTAGCCATAGGAAATCAGTTCTGTCAAGTGAAATAATTTCAAGTTTACATCTGCATAAGCTATCGGTACATAGATCATCTTGTCATAGGTAAAAAAAAAAATTGCACAAGTGATTTTTTGCATACACTACTAAAAGAAAAATGTTATTGTTTATAATGGTGAGGGAAAATTTGGGTAACCAGTTTTTTGTGGTGGTGTTATTGCCAAAGTGGCCATCATAACCCATCTTTGATAGTGTTTCACATGTCATCACAACATGGCTGTCAGTGAGTAAATCTTGTTCTGAGCTGCATTTACCTTGTCACAGCTGTTGCTGTTTCTCTTTCAATAACTGAGGACATCCTGATTTGACTAGCTTGAGTCAGAGCTTACCATGTAGTTAGGAAGGTTGGCAGTAGGTTTCAATCAACATTCAGGCATGTCTGATGCTCTTTAACCTTTAGCTTTGTGAAGGTAGTTTTGACAGTTTTACTCTGAATGTCCTTGCCTTATTACTAGGTCATCTGTCAGTCATTCTTTCCATCACTTCCTGTGTCAATACTTGGTGTGATTGCATTCTGAATGTAGCCTTCTCATTGGTTCTTTGATATATATTATATCAATGCATCAATACAATAAGCCGAGAAAACAATAGGACAGCTGGTATCCAAATGATGTCAATAAATATCCCACTAGTAGGTATAGTTACCCATTATACTTAAGCTATTTATCTGAAATGGGACACTGAAATTAAAGATCTTAACATATATGATTTTGGATGGTAATTCTATTTTTACTGTTTAACTTTAATATTATACAGTTATTTTTAAAAGACCATATTAAAACAGGGCTGGAAGTTAAGCTACAGGCTATTTTTTTTTTTATTAAAAAAAAATTGTACTTTTATGAATTTATTAAAAATTGAAATGGATATCTGTAGCACCATCAAAGTGTTAATATCCAAAGTAAAAGCTTCTAACCTTTTCCAGGTATGACTATGAAGATATATAGCATTGTGGACATAGATATCAACACTGGATAGCAACAGTCATGTTTCATACTTGGTCCGACTTGCATTTAAACATGAAACTGGATGATATCCAGTGTTGATACCTGTCTGCACTCCTTGTATTTACACCTGATCTCTTTGAGTATTTTTCTCCATGAATACCTTCATATACTTTTTAAAATGTATAAAAACAAGTTTGTTTCACCAACTTTAATTAAACGACCCATAAGGAGTTGATATACTGTTAAACAAATCAAGTCATTGTTTCACAAAAAAGGAGGTTCACTGGGGTATTTCTTTTCAGAAAAGACTAATTACAGTGCACAATATCAAGATAGTGCATTAGTAGAAACAAATTAAAATTAAATGTTCAATTGTCTCTCTAGTGTAAATTTGCAGAGATTACATCTGCTTATCAGGGACTTTGAAACTCAGAAGGGACAGATGTGGACATTTTTGTTACTTATACATAAGCATTGATCTCTGAATGCTCTAAAAATGCATTCATATAAATTCTATTTGGTCACTATTACTCTCCAATGATTGTTTAAAAACCTGCAAATTTTGCTCCCTGATTTTGTTTTCTAATGATTGTGCATTAGCTGTGAATAAAGACTAAACTCCTTGGGCATAAGATATAGTGCTGCATGCCATTTGTATGCTTACTTTTAGCATCCCAATTCCAGAGTGACATAACCAAATTTTCAGAAATGGTAACTAGTATATGAAACAGTAACTGTTGTACATTAACTTTTGCTTAAAAGTATTATAATTTGTGTAATACTTTAAACATATTCCTGGATTTAATTTGATATCACACGAGCAATTATTTTACTATTTTATAATTTTAATTTCTTTTAAGCTAACAAATATCTTGTTACTTTCCAGCTTGTTAGAAATTCTCTTCTGTAGTTCATGTCTAAGAGCTCTGATCCCTCGATTATTATCTTAGTATTTTACCTCTCCTTGCCAAAGTGCTAGAGGCTCTAATCAACTCCGAATTGGTTAAGCATCTCTCTTCACATGGCCTTCTTTCAGGTAAACATTATGGCATTTGTTTCTCCAATTGAGATGCGTAATGAAAGTAGTGTTGAAAGGCCAGGCTTCTAGATCTTTTTACAATAATGGCCCTGTCCCTTGACCTACTTTGTTTCTTATCTACAACCTTCCCAATGTTTTCAGTTCCCAACTCAGTATTTTGCTGATGGTGCGACTATTTACTCCCAATAGGTCGAACAAAGATCTGGCAGCTGCTCTTGAAAATTACCTCCAATCAGTTGTTAACTGGGGGCAAAAAATGGTTTGTAAAGCTTAACACCCCCAAAACAAAACTGTTGTCTGTTAATCATTACAGAACCATTTTTGGCTTTTTTTTTTTTTTTTTTTTTCTCAACATGGCTGATGCTAGGAGCATCTAGTTGGAGTGAAGGAATTATATTAACTCCTTTGCTCGGTTGGTTGCTAAGAAAGTTGGTTCTGTCGTGCTAGACACTTTTCTTGCCAGAGTCCGTCTTGCACATTTACAAATCTTACCATTCATCCAGGTGTAGAATATTGTTGCTATATCTGGTTTAGAGCTCCTGTAATATCTTCTACATTCTTCACAAAATCTACAGATGGGTTTGTAATGTTATTTGTCCTAACCTGGCATCTCCACTTCAGTGACTTTTCCACTGCCATGACATGGCTTCTCTCTTTTCTATATTTTCCTGGCAATTGTTCTAATGAGCTCTCCCCTTTTGGTACTTTGACCACCTGAATTTAAGCAGACTACTAGATTGGCAATTACAACAGTTTTGTTGAATTATCTAGATGTCACTGTAAGTACCATAATAATAGTTTTTCTTGTCTGTGGACCTTTCTTCTGCCTTCTTTCTTTCCTGTCACATGCAATCTTCAAAAATTTAACCTGTTCTTTTTATTGTCCTTTCTCCTTACTAAAGTCTTTTAATTTTCTTTCACTTTCATTAACCCTTTGTATTTTTAGTGGCATTATCACCTTGATTAGCGGTGAAATGATTTAAAAACGAAAAAGCTTTTTGGTTTGTAGTTTTAACAAATACTGTTGAAATAATTTTTTTTTTTTTTTTTTTTTTTCCCCCAAACTATGGATTTCATGAATGTTTTCTCTGATTATGGCTAATTTAATGTGGTGAAAAGTATTGATTCCTACACGTTTCCTTTTCTTTTTTTTCCCCTCTTCTCCAGACTGTTTGTATTATCACTTGATCACTCCTCTCTATGCCGCTTGAAGGCTCCTCTAAAATCATGAGACGCCAAATAAGCACTGCAGCTCCAGAACTGTTGTCCAATCCTTGTCAAAAGAAGCTTGTTGCCCAGCTGATTGCTGATCGCAAGAAAAATGTAAGTTTTTTTTTTTTTTTTTTTTTTTAAATACACATCACGGAAATTAAACATTGTTGATAGGAATTTATGAAATTCAATGAATGTAAATAAAATTAATGCCATACATTGTGTGTGTGGGGGGAATGGTTTTCAGCTTTATATCCAAATAGTGGAATGAAAGTAATAAAACATTTTCTGTTTAAAATGTGTGAATTTTATTTAAGGAGACATAAAATTTTACTCTGCCCCCAACTAAAAATAAAAAGAACTAAGGGTAGATAACTCTAGATTACACCTAAACTTTTTTCTTCAAAAATAACACCTATTGGTATTGATCTCGCTTGGGTCTTATCTTAAGTCGCAGGATGTTTCAACCAGTTAATTTCAACAGAAATGTTATTTACAGTTGATTGATAGAACTACAATTATATGAATCGGTTGCTTTTTGTGAAAGATCCCGATTGCAGAAGTGTTTTTTGTTTTTTTTTTTTTTTTTTTTCCATGACCAAATTTAAAAATAAAACATTGGATACAGAAGGGTTAAAGAAAACTGTCACTTGCGACATGTAACACTGACATTTGAGTTTGAAAATATATACAAAACAAAAATTTGTAGAATAATAGTGCAATGATTTACAATGTCCTTTCACTTTGCTTTAAGTGCTTGATGTCTGCAGTTAAATGTGCTTATTGGTACATTACTGTTAAATGCTTTAAATTAGCTTTCTGTAAATTCTAGTGAAAACAAATAACTGGTATTTTATGAGCATTATAAGAACTTTGATGAAAAAAGCTTTTATATTATGTATTTCACAAATAATCATTGGAGTTTTCTAATTTTGTCATTCAAATTACCCGATAATTTCTGTAGATAATGGAAACTTATTTGAAATCTAAGTAGGATTGAATCATTGTAACTATTAAATTTGGTAATATAAATAAAATGCTCATGAAATGCCTCAGCTTATAAATTTTTATTCTGCATTTACAGAAATGACATTTGTTTAAAGTATTTGGTGTTCTTTTCAGGGATGTGAAGATGCCTTCTTTATTTGTAACATTGGCGACGTCATTGAGAAATACTGCAATTGGAATGTCAAACTTCGAAGGATCAAGCCCTTTTACGGTAATTACTAATATATATGCCTTTCTGCCATATTGGTTACTTCCTTCCTCTCAACATGCGATTCGTAGTTTTGCCTCCTGAATTTTCAGATGTCATAAATGAAGCCTTGTATGTTAGGGAAACCAAGAAGTTATGGCTAAACAAGAACTAACATAAAAATATTTTTAACATTGGACAAATGACCAGACAACTGTTCAGTGTATAGTTGTTTTTTTTTTTTTTTTTTTTTTTTTCTGCAAAGCTTGGAGTAAATATGAAGAGAACACAGATTGAAGTGTTTCACTAATTGTAGGCAAAATATATTACAGTACCTACTTTCAAAACAGCTTACAATTGGATATTCAATAAATATGAAAATGGTTGTGCAAATGATTCAATTCCTAGGCATACACAAAGAAAACATCCTCTGTTTTAGGCAGGGTTATGGCTAAAATCTGAATTCTTCAAAATTACATCTGAGTGGCCTACTGATAAAGTATTCGAATTTCAGTATCTGACTTGACTAGTGATATGTTAATGTCAAACATCTTGCTATGCTTGTGGTATTTGGGTACTGCATACATCGAGGAATGCCTTGCACGTCATTTGAATGTAGGAAATGGATTTTATTCTTGTGATGTTTGAAGAGCATCACTAAAGCATTTAGCCAAGATGTTTAATTTACTCTCAAGTAATGATCCAGATCTTGCTTCCTTCACTATTAAGGATTCTGAGAATTAAACTATTTTTTTTTTTTTCCTGTTTTCTTCACATTTCTGTATTGAAGAATTGCTGTTGAATGATGGGAATAACTTTGAGATATGCTATTCATCTTTTCAATTTTGTGAAGTTTTTTGTTTTTTTTTCTTTCTCTCTATATTTCCAAGGTCTGACTACAACTTCGTTTATGTGTAAAAAGGCAGAAACTTTATACCTTGCTTCCCAATCTTCACTGCTACTGTCTTTATATGACAATAATTTAGCAGATGGATGAAAAATAAACACTGTAAAATGTTCTGCACAAAAGCCTGTTCAGTTTCCTTTTTTGTCTTAAGAAATTCTTGTTGCTACCATGTTTTCCCCTCCCCCACATTGGGTTTTATATGGTTGATTTACTTAATTAGGTCTTTTTTTTTTGTTTTGTTTTTTTTTCTTCAACTAGGTTGAACACACAGATTGGAAACCTTTTTACCTATAATATATAAAGCATTAAAATATAATTAGTGGGAAGTTGAATGTCCAAAATGTTATCCTTATGCTCTTATATAAACAGAAGTGAGGAGGGGGCGACTCGTGTGTGTGTATATATATATATATATATATATATATATATATATATATATATATATATATATATATATACACATGCAGGGCTTGGACAAAATAATTGGAACACTTGTTAAATTCAAAGAATTTATTTAATGTGGAGTTGGTCCTCCTTTAGCCTCACAGACAGCTTTAATACGTCTAGGAATGGAATCGTACAACTTCCTGACTTCATCCAGAGGAATTTTCAGTCATTCTTCCATTAAAACCTTCTCTAACTCTTTACGACACGATGGTGGCGGATAGTGGCTCCTAACTTGTTGCTCCAAAATACACCACAAATGTTCCATAATATTGATATCTTGAGATTGGGGAGGCCACTCCATGTGTTCTAGCTCACTTTCATGCTCTTCATACCAATTCTTAACCACTCGAGCAGTATGTATTGGAGCATTATCATCTTGGAAGATGCAGTCACCATCAGGGAATAGTCTTGACCATTGGATGAACATGATCTCCCAAAATGTTTCAGTAATCTTCACTGTTGATTCTACCATGCAGGGAAACTATTGGACCGAGACATTTCCATGATATGGATGCCCAAACTATCACTGATCCACCTCCATGCTTCACTGTTGGAAGAAGGCAGTCAGGTTTCCTCACAGCGGCTCTTCCATGATATGCAGACTTATGGAGCTCACGGTGAAGTTTTAGTAGAAACTAAACTACTCAGATGGTTATTCAGCTCAGCAGTCACTTTGGCTGCATTTGTCCGTTTTTTTTTTTGGTTTTTTTTTGCCACATTGAGTTTCAATGAACGTCAGTCCCTGTCTGCAAGTCCGGCCCGAATTGCTACGGTTGCTAGAGGTCTTGCCCTGTTTCTCGAATTGCATCAGTGTTCTTGATATGGTAGCTCTTGAAAAACCAAACAGTTCAGCAACCTTAGTGATCGAGGCTCCTGCCATACAAGCTCTAACAATTAGCTCTTTTTCGAACTCTGAGAAGCCCTGCATTTACCTTAAATTTTACTAAATTCTAAAAATAAGACAGTAAATGAGAAAATAAATGTATTTACAACAGATATAATCTGCAATTACAAAGTTTTAGTTAAAGTTCTTAATATAATAGGTCTTTGAAATATAGGAGTGGATTTTGCAACTGTTCCAATTATTTTGTTGTGTGTGTGTGTATATTGCAGCCATCCCAGTACATCTTGTCTTAGCTAGTAGTTTACTTTTGTTAAAAACATTGCCCTTTCAATCTCGGAAAACTTTTTAAAAAATTTTTTTTCTCTTTAGCGGTAAAGTGCAATGATGATCCTCTTGTCCTCAGGACCCTTGCAAACCTTGGTACTGGGTTCGATTGTGCAAGCAAGGTAAGTTATTTCATTCTCTCAATCATTATAAGCATTGAATCTGAAATGCTTATGCACCACAAATTTCAAATTCCTGTCAATATTCACTTTGGTCTATTCCTTTAACATCTCATTTGTATGAAAATAAACCTAATTCAGGCTACCAGATAACTGAACATTTTAATGGCTTTTAAAAATACCATGAATTTCATATAGCAGAACAAGTTTTTTTGTCTAGTTTTCATTTGTGATGTAATTTTATTTTATATTAAAGAATTTTTTTTTTTTTTTTTTTTTTTTTCCCTCATAAAGTGAAATGAAAGGTTATGATAAACATTTCAGCATATTTTTTTTTCTTCTACCTAAGATTTGATAGACATTAAAAATGGCTATAATTTGGATACTTGGTTATATTATATATATATAATCTATAATATAATCTGTTATCCATGCAGAAAGTGAGATCAGCATACCAAGTTCAAATTCCAGCTGAGGTTGTGTACCTTTTGGGGAAAGCTATGAAACTAGGCAGACTAGGATGTCTAGCCTTGGTTGGCAACTACTGTAGGAGGAGGATAACTCTGAATTCAAAACCAGTTTGGCATAAAGCAATTCTACTCTGTAAAAAAAAAAAAAAAGAAAAAGTCAACTTCTTACAGAAACCACAGCCGTAACACCTTGTGTGGTGAGGTTGTGGCTCTATACTGCACATGGATGACTTTCATCTTCTATCAAAAAAAAAAAAAAAAAAATTCATATCATTAATGTTAATTGTAAAATACTGTGGAAAACTCCTATTTTTGCTATTACTGCAGGTACATATGCCAATTAAGATGTGCTTGGTGTTGATACACAAGTTTATAAAAATATGAAATGTCTTTTTAGGGTGAAATAAAAAAGAAAATGAATGGCAGTTTCCACAAAAATTATATGCACCTGGCACTGACTGAGAACCCCACAGGCACCTCACCACCATCATTATATTTGTTATGTCTGTCTTGTCACATGATTCTCTACATAATAGTAATAGATTGTCTGCCCAACTATTTTGATTTGTCTGTCAAAATAACAACTGTCTTGTAGTGTGACCTAATGAGTCCCATTTTATGCTAGGAACGATTTCCTGAACAGCTGTAGCAATGAAGGTGGATGAATTTGAATTGCTCTGTTATTCCTTTTGATGAATTCTAAATGGGACAATAGTTTTAAAATTTGGTTCTATATCATTTTGTTTGTTAGAAAATAACTTCAACCCAAAGTGGCAGGCTTCTGAAAGAAAAGGAATGCAAGGTTGAATCTCAAATGGAGGCTTTGTCTTTCTTTCTAAGCTGCACTATTTGCCAACAATCACATGGAGTTGCAATGAAAGTGCTAGATGAAAGAAATAATAAATTAAACTGCCTAGCCAAATACTACTACTATTTGGGTGCTTTTGAGGGGTGGGGATAATGAAAGCTCTTGGGTGAAATATAAACTTCTGTAAAAAGTTGCTCTTTGTGGCTTAATTGGTAAATTAGCTGCTTTCGACAACAGATGCTTTTAAAGGGATGTGAGTTACCACTTGCTAGTGGTTTCTTTTGTGAACTAAAAAGAAATTATAGTCGAGACTTGTTTGCTCTTGATGACATAAGGTCATCATTTCTGAACTTCAGGAGATATATATATATATATATATATATATATAATGGGAGTAAAAATTTGTAACTTAGCTGATTGATTTTACCTTCAGCATCCTGACTCCAGAGATTTGTAGACTGGCTTGTACATCCACTCTTCAGAGGGTATCAGCAATTTACTGCTTATATTTTTTATTATATATATAAATATTTTATATTTATATTTAGCGTCAGTCTAAAAATTTTTTTTTTTTTTTTTTTTTTCAGTTTTTTACACTTGCCTATTTAGCCTTCAAACCCCCCAACCAACCACCTCCCTAAACAAAAACTGTTGCCAATTTTGCCGGGATTTTTATGACTCTAGATAATACATTGCTATTACTGTATGCCCCTTGACAGTTTTTTTTTTTTTTTTTTTTTTTTTTTTTTCCTTTAAACTATTTTTAGAATTTTAATAATACCCAAACATATGAAACTAGATTTATATATTGCCCTTTCTTGAATTGACAACAAAATATTAAACACTGTTCTTGTAATTAAAGTCTAATAAATCAACTTCTCATTTAAATTTTTTGTTTTGTTCAGACATCTTTACAAATTCATGAATAAAATATTTATTTTTGTAGTTAATTCTTTTATAATCCTGTAAAGTATAATAATTGCATTGTAATTGGTTCATATATTTTATAAACTTGTAAATACAAAACTATGCTTATAAGTAAACTGGATATTTTAAATAGTGATATTTTTAATATAAAGAGAGGATGTATAAATCCTGTTTCATGTATTTGGGGTTTTATTAAAATTCTAAACATAACTTTTTGAAACACAGGAAAATTGATTATACAATAACAATGTCACGGGGAAAACTTTTTTTCTTTTGTAGAATTTAGTCATTTTAAAATATGAAGCTACTAGAATTCTCATTTTAAGTTCTCACTTGTGATGAATAAAAAGCCTGTGTAATGCTGACCTTCAAATGATTCCAAATGTAACATGAATCCCATTCTGCAACCTTGAAACTTTCTGTCCTCTTAGGTCTGCAAATGAGAATTCTACTCCTATTACAACCTGTCACTCTCATATAGGATCTTTGGAATAATCTCTACATTTACCTACCTCCCCTCATCAAAATTGAATCCATTTTCCATCAACTGTGGCTCATTCTCTTTCCAACAAATACTTGTAGTTGGACTGAAATGGTCACTTTTCTCTCAACCTCCACTTAAAATCAATCTGTAATGCCAATAAAATGGCATTTTACTAATTTGAACTTCGAATCTGACAATTCTTTTGCTATATAGAATTAGATTTATCTTGTCACTTCTAAAAATGAACTAATACACTCAGATTATTTTAATGTTTTTTTCTTTATTTCTCTCTTTTATACCTCTAATTAAAGAGAATGTCTTTATTCTTTCTCTTCAACTCCGAACTAATGTAACTGAAGAGCAAATTAGATGAAACAAAAGTTGATTTCTAATATTTTTAACCTGGGCAATTCCAAACAACCTTGTTATTTATATTTAGGTCATTGAATGTCTCGTCTGTAGTGGGTTTTGTCAAATCCTACTTATTGACATTGTATCAGTGATACATACGCCTATACAACAAATAGCTGTTATGATATAAACTAAATGGTTTTAATTAAAAGCAAACTGACTACTCCCCTCCCTTTCCTTTCAATGACGTGTAACTATTCATCTTTTATCAAACCTTGACATATTTGGAATTACAGAAAGCTTTTGTTTTAAGTGCTTTGTGCCTAGGAATACAAAGCAACATTTGCAGTCTGTCCAATTTTATTTGATTCTGTTTTTATATTCTAATTAAAGTTGCAAAGTATCTGTTCCTAGTTAATTAGATAATTGCCTACATTAGGCATTACAAAATTTATTAGTTTAAAAATGTTCAATTTTTTTTTTTTTTTTTCATTATCGATTTTGAAACTAGGTAGCCATTTTAACTGGAGTAAAATGGATGATTTTAACTTTTATCCTCTTTGTCAATGCAAGGAATCAAATGACAAATATTGCTTTAATTAGTTTTGTTTATCTACTAAAAATAATTTTCTTAAAAAAAAAAAAAAAAATTTCCAAAGACATTTGGGTGGGGGTACTTCTATGACCAAATCACTCACACAAAGTATCAGTCATTTCAAAACTAACCAGTTAATGAATGTGAGGAAATATATAGTAGGCAATTTCTTATTACTTTAGATGTCATATTTACTGGTTACATATGTTTGACTAGACATTTTTTTTTTATTTAACAATGTAAATTTGTCTAGCGTCTTGTGCATTTGAATCATAATAAAATGTGACCTGGTAGGGTTTGAACCTGTATCCCCCACTACAAGTAAAACTGTCCAGCCCAGTGATTCAATAAGTTACAATGCTTTTGTATTAATTTAAAACACTTCTTTTCTTTCCAGAATGAGATCAACAAAATTCTTAACTTGGGTGTTTCTAGCGACCGCATAATTTATGCCAACCCTTGTAAGCAGAAATCCTTTATTAGGTTTGCTGCAAAGAATGACGTCTCTTTAATGACCTTTGACAATGAAGCTGAGCTCTACAAAGTGAAAGACCTCTACCCTGATGCAAGGTAAAAATTTGACTTTGACACACATTAGCTGTAGTAAGACTGTTTTGACTAACAAGTTAGCAAGATATCTTTCAAATTTGAATCCAATGGCAACATGTTTGGTTTATATTAAGACTGTAGGATTTCTTTTTTTTTTTCTTATAGGAATTATACTTTTCTATTCTGGCCAGCATGCACATTTTGGTTTTTATTCTTTAACCTGTTGGACCCACTTTAAGTATCTTTCTACTTTCTAACCTTGAAATTTGAAACCAAATCAACAAAAAGTAAAGCTATTATTAACTGATATAAAATGATCCCCAAGCACAGAAAGCTGTCTACCCCTGTGGATTGAATAAAGGGTTTCGTTTAAAATTCAAAAGTTTCTGTATATGAAGACATGCCATATTGTTCAATGGCTAAAACATGATTTAATCCTTTTAACATTCAACATGCTCAAACCTACCATCATAAATATTGGCTCTAAAAGTTTTGCTGCTTGTGATCAGTCTTGCTCTTTGCATGACTTCCTGCGTTATTTGGGATGTTGTCATATATTATGGTAGGGTATACATGGGGGCGGGTTGAAAGTTGTCAATATTTACGGGATAGGTTTGGTAGGGTTTAAACCACTAACATGGCATGCTAGTTGAAATACCAAGGCTTACAACTAATTTTTGTTTAGGTTCACAGTTTAAGCTGACTTAGAAATAAGAATTCCTTTTTGTAATTGAGGCCTACAACTTCAATTTTGTCTCTTTTCTCTTCAGGCTGGTAATTCGAATCTTGCCTCCCAGCGACTACAAGGTACAGTGTGAGCTCAGCATGAAATTTGGTTGCCTGCCTAAAAATGCAGGCCGTCTTCTAGAGAAGGCAAAAGAGCTTGGGCTGAATGTTGTTGGGGTCAGCTTCCATGTTGGTAGTGGCTGCCAGGATGCTCGAGCTTTTGAAGCAGCCATCACAGATGCCCGTACTGTGTTTAACATTGGTGAAAGTCTTGGATTCAACTTCACAATCCTTGATATTGGTGGTGGATTCCCTGGACACAAAATTCCAGAGATTACCTTTGACGAGGTAAGCAATTCTAGTTCCTCATTTCCATACCTATATTTACTAATTTATATTCTTTGATATTAATACATGATGGCTGGGCTAGAATGAATGGCCAACAATTTTTTTTTTTTTTTTTTTTTTCCAATGTGGATTATATCCACCTTGTTAATTTGTAGCATAACTGTTATCTTTCCCCATTCCTTGTAAGCTACACTTACTTTTACTGCTCGTACAACTTCAGTTGGTAATCCTCTACCTTGAATGGCTTTTAGGCCTTATATAGTGAACATTTAATAGTGAAAAAAATGTGTGGATTGATAACACCTTTTTATATTAATCTATAAGAGTTAAGACTTTTTACACCATAATTAGTGAGGCTTGAATTGTGGGTCATTGTGTCATTGGATTTCACTTATCTTTATTCATGGAAGGATGTTAACCTTGTAGCCCAGATTGATTTTTTTTTTTTTTTTTTTTTTTTTCCTGTCTACTGTGGCAAAAGAGCTTAACTCTAATAAATTATGCACAAGTTTTGATGGAACAAATAAATTCAAGCATTTTTTTTTTTTTTTTTTTTTTTTTTTCTCCAACAGATTGCCAATGTTGTGAATGACTCTTTGGACTTGCATTTCCCTCCTTCCTGCGGGGTCACAATTATGGCCGAGCCTGGGCGCTATTTTGTCTCTTCAGCATTCACGATTGGAGTTAATGTCATTGCAATGAGGGTAAAAAGTAGGGACCAGGATGAACGGGGTAAGTCAGTCAACTTTTTGTCCAGTTGCTATTTGTAAAACCTAATCTGTTGTCACAGTACTACAAAAAAAGATGCATCTCCCCCCCCCTTACTCCATCCTTAACGATTACAAGATAGCTGCTTTATTTTTCTCCTCCTTTAAATTCACTCAATAAAAACTATCAATGAAGAAATGATAGATTTAAAGTGGTGAAGATAATTTTTCTATTATGGAAGACATTTTCATTTGAAATGATCTCTTTGGAGAGGAATCCAAATTTTTCAACCCTTCCTTGATCTTGGAATAAGAATTTTCAATTTTAATATTAAAACTTAAATTATTTCAGTTTAGTCTAATTAAACTAGACTTTTTTTTTTTAAACAAGTCTATTTCAAAATCTTAATGACTTAAATTTAAAATCATAGTTCTAAATGTTAATGACTACAACTAAATTTATTCACTCAGCTATAAGGGGGGGAAGGAAATTAGGTAGACAGCCTTCTTTCAGAAAATGTACATGCACTTAATTTTGTTTACTTTCTATTTTTTTTTTTTTTTTTTTTTTTTTTTGTTAGGAGCAGACAGAGAGCCAGATGCAAATGACGAACCACATTACATGTATTACGTAAATGATGGCGTTTATGGCTCCTTCAGCTGTATCTTGTTGGACCATGCAAAAGTGGTTCCGAATGTAATCACGGTAAGTTCAAACTCAATAGATGGTCATGTTTGAATGGTGCATATCCATACGTGTATTCTTTATTTAATAGACCTGTAAAATAACTGAGGCAACTTGTGATGTTTGTCCATACTGAAGCAATGTGCATTGTTGGGAGTAGTCAGGATGAAAAAAGTTCATCTCTTTTTGGCCTTGCAAATCTCTTTGGCCTAAAGAAAAATGTTTGTAGAATTCATGTTTGGTTAAATCAGCTGTTGGAGCACTGATTAGCAGATTCTTGCTGAGTACTCAAATATTGTGGCCCCTGTGCCTGACAGAGCCAAAATTAGTAAACCATCTATGAAAATGTATTGAAAAATAAACTTAGGATTTTTGCTTAATTTGCTAAAAATTAAGAAAAATCACAAGCTATTTAGATTTTATACTATAACTTGAATCTCATAATCAAAATCTTGTCCACTTAAGATATAACAATTTTGTAAAAGAAAAAAACGTCTCTCCCTCCCTATATGCATAAATTCCTCAACACTAATTTAACTCCCACCATGCTCTTTTGTAGAAAAGAAAAAAATACCCCAAACTTGTAAAACATGTTTTTATTGTCATGATCTTTCTGCCATTCACATAAGATTGTTTAGAAAAAATTCATACATAACATAAAAAAAATTGCATCCTTTATACAGAACAAGAGATATGTGTATGACATGTTGTTTATGACAATGCAACATAATAATTTGCATAAAGTATGGTGGGTGCTTGAGGCAAGTTTTTTTTTTTTTTTTTTTTTTTTTACTCTTTCCTGACTTCTATTTAACTTGTTTTTATTCTAAACTAGTTGACAGCCAAGGCTATAAGTGTCTGCTCTAAAGGTGGATAGAAAAGATGGAGGCTCCAGTTTGATAGAACTTGAATTCTGCTTACCAATTCGTATTTTAATGCTATATTATCTTCTAACTATATATATATATATATATATATATATATATATATATATATATATATATAATGTGTGTGTTATATCTCGGTGTAGGAGAATTAACAGTAGGATTGCTGCGTTCAAAACATTAATTTAAAATAGTGCTCAATACATAAGTAGAGCTGTAAATATTTCTCTTATGCAGTGTTACATTAGAACATGTACATATCCACTACAAAATTGTACATTTTTGTTTCAACATCAAAAAGAAAACCTCTTTAGACATCTCATCAGGTGGGGAATTATGGTGTTACTTCCCACCTGATGAGATGTTGTCTAAAAAAAGCTTCCCCCCCACTCTTTTTTTTTTTTTTTTTTTTTTTTTTTTTTTTTTTGAAAAAAAAATTTACAATTTTGTAGTGGATATGTGCATGTTCTAACGTAACACTGCATAAGATATATAATGAAATTTTATCAGTTTTCACAAGACTTCGATAGTTAGTCCATATTGAACTGTGAAATGAAAGCAATTCCCCTCCTTATTATACCACTATAACACTTAAGCCCTGACATCTAATAAGTTTTGCTTTGTCTTCCAAAAAATATGGGTCGCCTAGTGAAGATCAAAGTTGGTATATTAATCAAACACTACTAAAAAATGAAACAAACTTTTTTGTTATTTGTGTTTAATTTTGTTCTCTCTACTTTTCTATAGGACCTGTCTGACTCAATGTTATACAGCTGCAGTGTGTGGGGCCCAACTTGTGATGGCATTGACTGTATCCAGTCAGAATGTCACCTTCCAGCTCTCGAAGTTGGTGATTGGATCTATTTCGAAAACATGGGAGCCTATACTTCCTGCTCTGCCTCCAAGTTTAATGGCATGCCAGAGCCCAAGTATTACTACTTTTGTGACAATGTCCTATGGTAAGTCTCTCTCTCATCCACTAAAGCCCCCTAGTCTAATAGTTTACTTGTATATCCTTCATTAAAGGTTGAACATGATCATTAAGTTGCCCACAAACCTATTTTTTTTTTTTTTTTTTTTTTTACGTAATCATTCCAGTTTCAGCTAATAAATGCATCCACCTTTTTGGGCAAAAATAACTTTTGTCTATAATTAAGAGATTCCAGTTTTTTCTGTCTGACATTCAGGTAGATACAGGCAGTAGTCTCTCTCACTGATTTTTTTAAAGACCACAAGACTGTACTTGCACATAATTCACTCTAAAAATTTGCAAACAATTACAATTAATTTTTATAAAATCAATTTATATTGTAAATTTTTTTTTTTTTTATATATAAAATCTGTCTGTTCTCTAGACTTTTGTATATTAACTTAATCTTTACAGGGACAAAGTGGCTTGGAAAGAGCGCAACTGTGAGCTACTCAAATCCCGTTGTGTGGTGGATGGAGCAAACTTTGAAGGAGACCAAGAATCACTAGAAATATCCAATGTCTAACTTTACTCTGACCTTTTTAAAAACATTAAAACATTTTTTTATAAATATTTATTACATTCTTTTTAAGTTTTTTTCTTCTTAAGACTTTATTTCAACTAATTTAATGCTGATTGTAATTTATGCCCATTTTCCTTCCCAGCTTGATTTTAAAACTGAGTTTCTTTACTGTCTCCCAGTTTTGAGTTGCCAACTGCCTCCTCTTAAACATTGTCCCTATATATTTGTGGCATTCATGTAGGAAAGAGACAACTTTTTTTTTTTTTTTTTTTTTTTTTTTCTTAATAGGCATGCCACTATTACTTCTCTTTTTGCCAACACTATTCTATTTATTGAATTATTTATTTGAAAGTGGATCAGCTTGCACACAACTGTATCATCCCCACACCTTTTTTTTTTTTTTTTTTTTTTTTCTCTTCACCCTTTTTTCTGCCTGCATATTACAATCAGATAATTTGTGCAGGATTTGCTTGATACATTCTTATGCATGAATTTCACTATTCAAATTTTTTTTTACTTTTTAAAATAAAAGGGCATTTAATTTCATAAGCTTTTTTTATGTAATAGAATATACCCTAATTTAAAATTATATCTTTGCAAACCTTAGATTGAAAGTCTTGTCTTTATTTGCTTAGGATGTTCATGTAAAAAAAAAAAAAAAAATTTTTTTAATTTACTCATTTTGTTTTTGTGCCACATTTTATGCAATTTTTATACATTAGTAATACCTTAAAAAAAAAAAAAAAAAAAAATTCAATTTACTTTGAATATTATTTAAATCTATTTTAGTAACTTTGATCACACAGAATTTATTTTTGTTATTTTAAAGGATGGTGTTGAGAAAAATGTTATTTTTGAGATAAAACCTTCTCTTATTAGCATTGAACCTTTTTATTATTTTTTAAGTAGTGTTTTTTTTTTTTTTTTTTTTCTTTTCTTTTCTTTTCTTTTCTTTTTCCCCAAAATCTGGAGCAATAGCTCCAAACATTCCTAAATGAATCATTAATGAATTCTTACCTTTTTAATTTGGGCTTTGTTTGCTGATGATGACGAGAATCCCCTCCCTCTGTCACGACTCTCAGATTTAAACCGAATCTTAACTCTCCCCCTTCCACTCTTGGGTGTCGGTGTTTGTGTATGTTTGTTCTGTAAACTTAAGCCAAAATACAACACCTTCAGTTTTTTTTTTTTTTTTTTTTTTTTTTTTTTCCAAATAAAATATTGGGACTTGGATAACACTTCAGGTCTTAGATTATTGAACATTTAGAAGGATAAATTAATTTCTAATACATTTTTGGTATTTAGTGACACATGGCTAAAGATTCTGATTATTCAGAAACCAAATTTGATAGTTAATCTATCTGGAGATCTTTACAGAATTTTTCTCCTATTCAGATTTTTGTAAAGATATTTACTGTGAACCCTTTTTTTTTTTTTTAGGGAAAATAAATAAAAAAAAATAAAAATAAAAAAAAAAAAAAAAAAATTTCCATACCCAGATTTTAGAATTTGGATTTAGGCTCCACTCTTTCTTTCCACTCTCCTCCCCACCTTTTCTCTCCTCCTCCACTCTTTCTCCTCCCCTCCCTCCACTCTTCCTCCCTCCACTCCCTCCCTTTCTCCTCCACTCTTTTTCTCCTTCTCCTCCCTCCACTCCTCCTCCACTCCTCCCCTCCACTTTTCTCCTCCCTCCACTCTTTCTCCTCCCTCCACTCTCCTCCCTCCTCCCCTCCACTCTTTCTCCTCCCTCCACTCTCCCTTCCACTCTTTTCCTCCCTCCACTCTTTCTCCTCCCTCCACTCTTTCTCCTCCTCCCTCCTCCTCCCTCCACTCTTTCTCCTCCCTCCACTCTTTCTCCTCCCTCCACTCTTTCTCCTCCCTCCACTCTTTCTCCTCCCTCCACTCTTTCTCCTCCCTCCACTCTTTCTCCTCCCTCCACTCTTTCTCCTCCCGATTAAATAAAACCAACAGAGTATATTACTCAGATAAGTACAAATTTTTCATCAGCTGAAGAATTGCACGATTAAAAAAAAAAAACAAAAAAAAACAGCTGTTACTTGAATGTTTCAAGAGATTTCATTTTGTGACTTTTAAAACATGTCACAAAATAATTCTCCAGTTATTAGATAACTTTCTTTATATATATATATATTTTTTTTTTTAACATTTGTCTTAATTTCTTTTTCTTTGCATTTTATTTTCAGAAACTGAAACTGTTTTCCTTTCTGAAAAGTAATGTAAAAAGTAAAAAAGAAACCTTTTTAAAAGGTTCCTCCTCTTCTCTTTTTGCCCTGACCATTTTACTCTTAAATATCAGCACTCATATATATATATATATATATATATGCAGATATAAATTTTAAAGAGATTTTTCTTTAAATCTTTTTTAATTTCCACCCCTATTTCTCATTTAAAAAAATAAAATAAAAACTTTAAAAAAAAAAAAAAAAACCAATATAAGTAATTGGAGTATATTACTCATTACTTAGTATGCTAACAGTTAGCATGGAAATAATTTAACTTTTAAGGAAGTCTAAACCATTTAGCCACGGGGCACAACTAATTTTACTAGAACTAATGAATAGCACTAACCAGTATGATTTTAGTGGTAGAGGAGAGGGTTGGCAATTGAAAGTTTAATGTTCCCTTAAATTCTGGGTTAGTGTAGATCCTAGGAGTTGAACTTTTAACCCAGAAATAGTAAGCATAGAAAAAAAAAATCTGCTCTATTTATGGTATAAACAATGATTAGTACACTATAAGGTTGGTTTTTAAAGCTCACCTGGTTGAGATGTTAATTTTTGACAGTGGAACATTGCTTAACCAAACATGTAGATAAGTCGTCTTTGTCCAGACAATTAATCCAGTTATACAAGCCAGACCAAAAAAAAGGCATGTTTAACCCTGTGTTACTCACTTTGGATTTCTGAAAATGGATAGACCCCTGGGGTGTTTACACCCGCCAACACAAAAATGCTTATAGTGTTACCATTATGTGAACTATTGTTGTAAAGCTGTCAGTGGTGTGGGACAATATACATTAAATCAAAACTTGAACTGCAGATATAATTTTCATTAAAATGAAAATTATAAATTTGCATAAACATATGTTGTAAATTGTAGGTTAAACACACCAATATAATACTCATAATTACAAAACTGAAAATAATATATAAAAACACACATAATATATAAGCCATAGATCTTGAAAACTTACCTTCATTAGTTAGGTGGGTTGACAGAAAGAAAATGAAGCTGTCAGTCTCCCATGAAAACTGTACTACTGGCCCTCACTGAGTTGGACTCACTGAGAAGGGGAAAGGAAGCAAATGAAACCAGTTGCCAATTATGATTACTTTAAAAATGTGGGAGTAACTGAAAACGAAAGCTTTCCACGCACAGTGCATTGCTGCAAATTGACGTAAATAAAGCACAATGAAGTGGTGATTTGATTTAACAACTTAGAATATTGACTTTTGACATGTTTTCTATGATTCCATAAAAAGGCATCCCACTGTTGATGTCTTAATGAAAATGAGTATCGGTGCTTTCCTGATTTGTGTTTACAATTTTTATCACCATTTAGTAATTAGGATTGTCATAATTTACAGGACCTTGAAATATGTCACTGTAGTCAGTTTGTATCAGATTTGAAACTTTGGAATCTCTTTAAATGTCTTTCAGAAATGCCACCTCCAGCTACCAACTGCAGTCAGTATACTAGAATGTGTAAAATCTACTTTCAAGTGATTTTAGCCCCCACTTCTTTCTGGAAGAGCTGTCATATCTGGCACTTTTTCTTTTTCTTTTTTTTTTTTTTTTTTTTTTTTTTTTTTTTTTTCTAAGTATGAAAGTGTGCCTACATGTGCACACGTTTGTTTTTAACATGTGTATATGTACACAGATATCCATGTGTTTGTAATCTCTACACTAAGAAGACTTAATCTCTTGTCTTTGAGGTGCAATGAATGTTATATAATTCTGACTGCTTTGTGACTAATGCAGAGTATGTTGATCCCTATTTTTTTATGCCATGTGCTTTCTTTCTCTTTAATTGGTTATCGATTTATCTGTCTTTGTTTTTCCTCCATTCAAGTTTTCACATTAATTTCCTTTTATATACACAACTCTGTATGTTTTTTGTTTTCTTTCCTTTTAATTTTTTTGGTACAGCCCAATTGTACAAACATAAGCAGCACCCACCACACCCCTTTTATCATTTGTTTATTTATTGTACTTCAATCAACCCCCCCCCCCCCCGATTCAATTCTGTATAATTTGTTTGGAGAACATTTTCTTGCTATGAACATTTTGCTGCCTGTTCATTCAATCTGTAATATGAAATTTTCATGAGTCTGGTCTTGGAAAGAAAATGTTCAATCAAACTGAAAGTGCTTAAATCAGTGCTTCTCAATCTTTTTCAACCCATGGACCATATTTTTTTTTTTTTTCTCCAAAAAATTCAAATGGCCCACTCCTACTTTTACCATTCAGCTATGACTACCTTGATCTTGGTGTTCCTGACACAAGATATCAATCAATTTTGTTGGTGTCATTCAGTCTATTACAATCTTATAGTGATCTATTAACACAGGAATAATTTTTTATATGAATAAAAAAAATTGTATCACACACACACACACACACACACACACACACATTAAACACTGCATAATACTTGCATAATTTAAAAAAACTTTCAAATATAATGAACATGTGTAATTAAATATTTAATTCTTCAAAGTATGAATAATTTAGATACATTTTTTTGTGAAATGGATACAAATTTTCTTTCTTTCCTTTTTTTTTTTTTTTTTTTTTTTTTTTTTTTTTAATCATTAGAAATTCTGTGGACCACATTGAAAATCATTGGCTTAAAGAAAGTAGCCTTAAAAAAAGTAGCCTTAAAATTACTAATCTAGCGACTTTATTTTCCCTGTTTGTCGCTGGCTTTAGCGTCCCATTCTCAGACGCACTCTGTCTCCATTCTCTCTGCTGCCCCTGATTTAATTTTTTTTTTTTTTTTTTTTTTTCCTACATATTATATAGGGAGGGGGATGATCAGTAAAAGGTTTTTATTAAATCTTTATTTTTGTACACAATATTGTTCAGTTAACTCCCCCCCCTTTCCTGTCTCCATATACTTGCTGATGATACATTCTTGCAGCTGAACCCTTCTTCTTCTATTCTCATAAGATGTATTCCATTTTTTTTTTTTGGCATTTCTTCTTCCTCCTCTTCCTTTTCCCATGCAAATACCTCCTAACAAGAAGGAAAAATGCTGGCTGAAGCAGCAACTGTATAAAGAGGTTCAAGAGATCAGCTTATATTGAGGACTTCTCAATGTTTTTAAACAATAGGTGTATATTTTGTTTTCTATCATTTTAGTGCCTTTGCCTGCCCCCACTTTTTGTCATCCTGTCAGCAAACTTTTATCCCCCCCCCCTCACTGTCAAATCCTTGTACTAATTGCCATTAAAAACTCACTTCACACATTAACTCACTCATACATCCAGAGGACATATAAAACACAAAATCACTAATTTTGCTGTATATTTGCTTTTAAAAAAAAAAAAAAAAAAAAAAATATGCTAAGCTTAATGGGAGGGGAGGGTTTCAACTCGAAAAGCTGTGACTTAACAATTTTCCCAACTATGAAAAGATGTGGCATAAGGACCTGCCAAAATTAGCGAGACACTGCTACCTACCTGTATACACCAAAGCATTTGTTTGATTGTGGTGCAAGCAAAGTTGTTCCGGCATTAAGCGATTACTTCCCTTTTGCCCTACCATATGTAAATCTCGCTTTACCTGTGTTTGTGTGCATGTGAGATGCAGATGTCAATGACATAAAAATATTTATTATAATTTAGTTCATTTTTAATTTATTATTTTCTTTTGTTGGATTAATAATTTTTCTCAGTTATAGAAAATAGGTTTTATCTCGCTTTTTAACTTCCCAAAAAATTTTTTTTTTTTTTTATTTAAAAATCTTAATTTGAAAAAAAAAATTTAAAAAAGCAATTTATTGTCATGTTTCATATTAAATATTTAAAAATAAAATACCCCCTCGCATCATTTTCATAATTCAATGATTAATTTTTTTTTTTTTTTTTTTCTCAAATTTCTTAATATTAACTTTAGCTTACTAGAGGCCTGTATTTTCAGTTCTCTTCAGATTCATATAATTTACATGAATCAGTATTTTTGTTAAACTCCAATTTCTGTTCTTCTCTAGGCTCAGTTTTTTTTTTTTTTTTTTTTTTTTTTTTTGTTCAAAGAAATATTTTGGATATGAAACATGGGATAAAAATTGTACAAAAAAAAAAAATCTTTTACTCCAAAAGAGTTCTTGGTCAGAGAGTATTAGATTGGTGATGATACAAACTTTGGGAACACCTGCTATAGACAATTACTGGTCAATTTTCATTGTGGAGCATATACATCTGTTACCCTGGCCTGGACATCACTAACCAGAGCTGATGTTAGGTATATATGTAACCCAAAATGGAAATAATAAAACTATCAAAAAAATCACCTTTTTGTTTTCGTTTCTTTTTTTTTTTTTTTTTTTTTTCTTTTTTTAAATAAAGCAGTTCATTATACAAAATGGTGAGATAACAACAATATTATCAATTTTATTAATTACGCATTTTAATTGATATTTAAAAATTGTTAATGTGTTAACAGGAACAATAAACCTTAAGACAGGTGTCTTTTTCAAAATTTTCACACCAACTTTAATGGATAGGGTTCATTAAAGATACAAAATCTTTTTACTAAATAAGGAGCAGTTCCTTAAATGATCTGCAGACAAAAAAAAAAATTCACTTTTAACTTCCTCCATTCATTTATTAAATAAAATATTAGCTATTATCTATAATTGTGCTCTTATAGTTCCACAAATCTTTCAGTGAGAAAATGAAAGAAAAATAGTGGAAAGGGAGAATCGGATTACACTG